GTAAAATACACAGACCGAAGGAAAATGACCCTTAGTGACTGAAACCAGCTGTGTCAAGCTTCTCGCTGTCTCTCCTGATTTGCTCTCTACATAAATGGATGTGGTAGAGGATGAGAGAAAGTAAACAGAGTCATTTTTTCTCTCTTGTAGCCACACCTCAGTAAGAGCCCTGGTTTTTATAGCCGAAAAATATATGTTTATTTGCTCATTAATTTTCCCCTCTCTCCCTTGCCTTTTCTTGGCATTGAGTAGAATGTTATTTAAAACAAGACACAGTTCAGCTTCAAGAAGAAAAATCATTCTGCAAAATACAGCTTGGACTCATTTAATGGTTATTCATCATCCCTGAAAGAGTGGGGCACAAATATCTATATTTGGTGTACTTTAATGATTCAGACTGCAATGATCCGTGTTGGCACGAGGATACAGGGAAGCAGTAGGCTCTTTAGGACTCTCAGAAGTGCCCCAATCATTTATTGGCACTGCTTTCCTTCAAAGAGGACACAGGCTGGTGCTTGGACGGTGGACTCAACCCCAAGGCCTGAGGTTCTCTAAGGGATGCTTGAAAGTCTTCATTTCCTCGCTGAAGTGTGTGTTTTCTCCCCCGTGCTGAAAAAGCTTTGGTTTTATGCATTTCCTTCAGGTAGTGGCAAATAATGATGTGCCTAACGCAGTGCCTGGCACATAGTAGAAGCTCCATCAATATTTGTTGAAGGAATAAATAGGTAAATGGAATGTTATGAGCCTTGCTAGTGTTATTGTCTTGGCGTGAAATATGCAAGAATAGACTTGAGGCAATCAAGTAATTTCCCTTAACAGGACAAGCTAATTATTTAAGATGAAGATCTGGTGCATGGTATTTATTTGTCAGGCTCCATTTGCTCCTAATTAAAGATGGAAAACTTGTTTGTAGCATTGGAGGGGTGACATAGTGACCCACTACTAAGCCGCTTTTCAATTTTCCGTACCGCTTTTCCAGGGAAAAGGTATCAAGAGAAAGTGAAGGAACATTCCTTTTGTTTCTTTACGTTTTATTTTTTCTGTTATCACTTTTGGGAGGGCAGGCCGGGTATGGAGCCTGAAGCTCTTTTGATAGTACTTCTACTGCCTGTCTGCTTCCATGACTTCTCTACTCTTTTCTGCTGACTTTGGTTGACCGATGAAATCATCCTCCCAGACAGATAGCACCTGCAGCGATCCAAGATGAAAACGCTGCATCCTCATGAGCCTCAGAAGTTTCTTTCATTCATTCACTCATTCATTCATTCATTCATCTGTACAGTCATTCCAAAAATATGAATTTAGTGCCTACCATGTACCAGGCTCTGTGCTAAAGCTGTGACTTTAACAACTGAGCAAAATCCAACGTGGTTCCTGCTCTCTGGAAGCTTACGGTCTGGAATCGTTGATGGATATGAATTGAATAATCATATTAAAAATCTTAACTACAAACTGAATTAAAAAGAGGAATATGGCCCTACTGGGACCAGGCAATAGCAGGAATTGATTTTGACCAGGAGACCAGGGAGAATTTTACTAAGGAGGAGCCAAGAGCTAAGAGCTATAAAACGTCTGAAGAGGGGCGTCTGAGTGACACAGTCGGTTGAGCGTCCCACTCTTGGTTCTGGCTCAGGTCATGTTCTCATGGGTTGGGGGACGGAGCCCCGCATGAGGCTCTGGGCTGGGCAGGTGGGGAGTCTTCTTGAAGATTCTCTCCCTCTGCCCCTCCCCCCACTCATGGGCACTCTCTCACTTTCTCCCTCTCTAAAATAAATAAATAAATCTTTTTAAAAATAAAAATAAAATGAAGAAAGGGAAAGAGCGTTCCAGGCAAGAAGACTATCAAATGCAAAGGCCTGTGGAGCCTGCGTGGGAAGAGCAAGGGCTGATGGGAAGGTAGGGCCACACCCCTCAGTGTCTATGCATAAGCCATAACGTCCTCTGAACATTAGAAAGACCGAAGGGTCATAAACCCAAGGATAAGGAGGAAGTGGGAACAGGAAGAAGGGACACATGTACTTTATCAGATTGGTGGGGGAAGGCGGGAGGGGGCAATACAAGTATCCATTCTTTACAAATGTAACAAAGGAGGTGATCATTGTAAGCCCAGGATCCTTTGCTGCACTGGAGCTTCCTGGAAATTCTTACATTCACGCTTCTGTCTGCCAAGTTTCAGAAAGAGTTTATCTGGATCTTCACTGTGTGCTAAGTAACCATGCGCTGGACCATGCACCAATGGCATCTTGTCATTTTATCGTAGACCTGTCTCTTCTTTCTGCCTTTCTTTTGATGATAAGGAGGTGGCATAACATAGTTTATAACTGTTTTTGGCAAATGTGTATGGTATGCCTTCCGGCACCTTCTTTCTTGGTTTAGAGAACAGGCTGTGGAGGTAGCATGCCTCTACACCTCTCCAGTGGTATGTGAGCTTGAGCAGGGGGCTTAGCCTCTCTTTTAGCCTCGCAGGATTGTTCTAAGGATTAAGTGAGACTGAGGAGTGGTGTGCAGTGAGTGCTCAAGTAATGCCAGCCATTGTTATTAGCTAGATTCACTCATAGAGAAAGGTGTCGAAGATATACTGTTAAGGAGGACAAAGGCAAGTTACTTGGGGAAGTGGAGCTTCGCGGGAAAAGGGTAGGCAGGTGGCTTTTAGTCTTTCACCCCATATTCTTGTAGGAGTTGGTTTTTTTTACTACATAGCTGTATGTTTTCATAATAATGAAACTACAAAGAATAGTTGAGGAAGTTTATCAACACTACCCGATTTCAAAAAACAGCCAAGAAACAGTGATTTCAATATAATCTTTTTCATAATTTTCTTCACCCTTAAGTTTGGAGATGTCATTTGGAAACTTTTCTTGGGATAAAGAAACATGTATCTGAAGTCCAGCAGTTCATTTTATTTTATTTTTTACTTCTTTTGCTTAGGTTATATTCAAATAAGAATCTTTAAGTTCCATGCTATTATTATCCCACTGTGATGAAATTATTCTACTTGTTCCTCCACCTCTTTCCCAGGGATTCAGGAAGCTTAACTTCTTCGGGATTACTATGATGAAGGTCAGTAGCTGATACTCATGAAAGAGGAAGCAAGTAGGCTTAATGGTCACTGAATCTGGATGTAGGAAAGGTTTTCAATGATTATCTAATCTTAGGATAGAGTCTGTCACATATCCCCCTCCCTCTTATTTTATTTTTCTTTTACAAGTGGAGGTTCTTGGGCGCCTGTGTGGCTCAGTCCATTACGCATCTGCCTTCGGCTCAGGTCGTGATCCCAGGGTCCTGGGATCGAGTCCCGCTTTGGGCTCCCTGCTCAGCGGGGAGCCTGCTTCTCCCTCTACTCCCCGCTTGTGCTTTCTCTGTTGCTATCTCTACCTCTCTCTCTCAAGTAAATAAATAAAATCTTAAAAAAAAAAAAAAAACAAGTGGAGGTTCTTTGTATTTAACTAAAGATTTTGATGAATTCAGTTGGTATTTATCAATAGCTTACTCCACCCAGTCGAGAGTCATTAATATTGTACAGGGCTGGAGCATGGTTGCTTTGACCCTCATTTAAATACAACTCTTCCTTTTTGCAGTGATTGCACATCAATCACTAATTAATTAGATAAGAATACAGATAAGAATTAGATAATAATCAGATAAGAATACAAATCAGGAGAGAGCTTTGAGTCCCCTAGCAAATACTTCATGGAGCCTGTGTGAGCTTGCCAACCAGACTATCATCACTGCAGAAGATACGTTTCCAAGGAATAACTGTATTATATAGTACTTAGCACATTGTGCCCCTCAGGATATGATGATAATTGCCTGTGTACAAGAAAAGGCAATTTTCAAGAAATTGTGACTAAGTTGATTACCAACTGATTCTTTAAATCGGGGCCAGCAAACCATGGCCCATGGGCCAAATTTGGCCCCCTGCCTAATTTTGCACAGCGCACGAGCTAAAAATGGTTTTTACATTTTTAAATGATGAAAAATCTAAAGTAGAATAGCATTTCATGTCATGTGAAAATTATATGGAATTCAAACTTCCTGTTCCTGAATAAAGTTGTGTTAGAACATAGCATGCTCATTAATTTACACACTGTCTACAGCTGATTTGCCCCAAAAGAGCAGAATTCAGTAGTTGTGACAGAGAGCATAAGGCGTGCAGTAGTAAAAATATTTACTATCTGACTTTTTATAGACAAGTTTGCTGATCCCTGCTTTAGATTCAGGTAGAAGTTATTTGTGTGCACATCTGTATGCTTGTTAATGGATAATGCTTTTGTGTTAGAAATGTGCCCGGTGATACGGCCGTCAAAAAAGCTGTAGAATGCAATCCAAATCTTTCCACGTCCCTCACTTCCTTCCCAAAATCAGAAGAAAGTTATTGTGTGAGAAAAATTAGGTTATCAGGAGGGACTATGAGAAATATCATGGTAACAAATCGAGAAGACCTACCTACTGCCTCTGAAAGTTATAGATCATAAATCCAATTTGAAGTCCTAAAATAACATCAATACTATTCCTGTACCCTGAAATTTGAAGTTATTTCCTCTTTGTGTTCGAGAAGTCTTTTGAGAGGAAGAAATCTTTTATTCTTGTGAGCCTTACAAAACACAGTGCTGTATCAGATGAGCCCTTTGTTCAGTGACATTATCATATTGGTTTTATTTGGTTTATATTTACATTCAGCTGCCAATAGGATACGATGAATAATCGATAGTAGGAAGCTAGTAGGAAATACCTTTTAGGAGACTGTCTAAATCTTGACAGGGTATCCTGCTCATCTGCTGTGACAGTTGAATTAACATTTCCAACTGACATTGACCCTCCTGCCTACTAAGATATATATGGAAATTTGAAATTAATATAAAAGTCATACCACCAACCAATAAACAATTACTAGCAGTACTACCATAACATAGATTTGAAATATGAGTCCTTTTGATTCAAAATCCCTCTTCTGTACACGACTGACCTCAGTTGTCCCCTCTTGTTTTGTTCTGTTTCAGAGGTTGAAGGCCGCGTTGACTCACCACCCAGCTGCCATGTCAAATGGGAATATGAACACCATGGGACACATGATGGAAATGATGGGCTCCCGGCAGGACCAGACGCCACACCACCACATGCACTCACACCCGCATCAGCACCAGACACTGCCAGCCCATCACCCATACCCACACCAGCACCAGCACCCAGCACACCATCCTCACCCTCAACCCCATCACCAGCAGAACCACCCACATCATCACTCCCACTCCCACCTTCACGCACACCCTGCACATCACCAGACCTCGCCACACCCACCCCTGCACTCCGGCAACCAAGCACAGGTAGACCCTTTTATGATCTCTTTCCCCCTTGTTGTTATCAGGGCGAGCTCTAATGCAGGGTTCATTGGCAGCAAACTGGTTTGATGAGCTTGGGTGTTCTGTCTCACTCTTGGGGGAGCTCTGTTCTTTCTTAGGAAATAATGGCATCCTATAAGACCCTCCCAGATCCTAGTTTCTAGAAATAATATGATCGATATCAGGTCTAGTCTCCGGGGGCAAATGTAAACTTCAGTTCTCCAAAATCTGTTTTTTTGCAGTGTGTTACAAAGGTAACTCTAAAAAAGTAATACTGATGGGAAGATTAGGAAGAATTGAAGCATCTGAAGAAAGATGTGAATAAAGAATGAGAAAAATAAGTTAATTCTAGCCATGGTTTTAACTGCAGTGCTTTACAACATAGAGACTCAATTTTGGCACCTGTAAAATGAAAGTTAAATACGATGGGCAGTCTTCTGAATAACACTAAATGCTAAAAAGCTAAAGAATAACAGTTCCAGGCAGACAAAGGAGCTCGGTAATGGATGATAGGCCATAAGGTGCTGTGTAAATGAGGAAGAGAGGTGACTCATGCCACCTAGTGTGAAATGTGTTGGAGGGAGCAGAGAGCCAAGCTCTGTAGATGGTTGGTTCTAGAGAAAGGCCAAATCCCAGGGGTGGAGAGTCACCAGAAGTGGCTAGAAAGAAAGCCAGCATTTAGACACAACTGAAGGAGGGTTGGGGGACCAGGCAGACGTTATGTCACCCAGCCCAAGAAGAGAGGCGGGTCCGTGTACCTGAGTAAGTTTTAGTAAGTGGATGAAGGGCATGTCTAGGAGCATGGCTAGCCCTAGACACTTTGGATCTTCAAGCAGGATGACCTTTGTCAGTCCCCTCCACCCATTCCACACTGCCAGGTTCCAACCAGTTGGGTCAGAATGGTATTGGGAGCTTGGAATTGCCAAATAACACTTATTCACCATCTCCTCCATCATCTGCCTCCAGACCTCACCCAAGGCAGTTTGGGAGCTTTAGAACCCTCTCCTCTAAAACACACCAAACTTGGACGGCCATCGACAAAATGGGTCATTCACAAGCAACTCTCTGATCTGTTCAATAGATAAGCTTATTCATTAGGTCAGCTTACTTTTGCAAAGGTAGTTAGAGGAATTCTATATAGCAAGTAAGAGTGCAGGCTTTGGAGTGAGAAATCTGTAAATTATTTTCCCACCTTACTTGCTGTGTGACTGTGGTCAGTTAGCTAAACTCCCTAAGCCTCAGTCGTCCCATCTGCAAAATGGGGTAATAATAGACAAAACTCATCGACTTTTAGGAGTATTAAGAGAATGTCTGTAAAGCCCTTGGCACAGGAATCAGTACATGTTAGCCATGATTAATTCCAAACTGAAGTAATATGATAGACGTTTAGCAAATAGTTCAGCAATAAAATGCCGTCCAAAGCATCTTTTTAGTCAAACGCCATAGTAGGACATGGAGACAGTTAGAAGGGACAAAGAAAACTAGAAGTGCAAAGATAGGCAAATAAATTCACATGTGTACTTACTTTTTTAAGGAAAAGGATAGCATCAAGTTTTGGTTGCCTTGTCGGCTTAGTTACTTCACAGACAAGTTTAACCGTTAGTTGAATATAAAAGCCATTCATTAGCTAATTACCAATTAGCCAGTTGCCCTCCATTTCAAGTCAGTAAGTGGCCAATTGTATATGCAATTAGCTAATTGCATTATAATTAGCTACACAAACAGTTGCTTTTTAATCCCATAGGGCAAGAGTATAGGTTGGTCTTGTTAAAGTTTGAACAAGATCATTCAGACAATGCTCAAAATGCCACTCTTAAATTATGTGAACCTGGCTGATTACTGAGATCTTGTCATATTGCTTAAGCATACGATGATTAGAGCATTAGGAACAGAAGTTTATTAAGACCCTCCCAACTGGGAGATTCTAATATGACTTGGAATAAATTTGTCTTTATGAAATAACAATTCATTATTTTTTTATCAAAAGCTTCAGAGCATCTATGCCAACAGAATTCTATTTTAAAAATAAAATAAGTAGCAGGGTGCCTGGGTGGCTCAGTCGGTTAAGCGGCTGCCTTCGGCTCAGGTCATGATCCCGGGGTCCTGGGATCGAGCCCCACGTCTGGCTCCCTGCTCAGCGGAGAGCCTGCTTCTCCCTCTCCCTCTGCCTGCCTCTCTGCCTACTTGTGCTCTCTCTGTCAAATAAATAAATAAAATCTTTAAAAAAAAAAATAAAATAAAATAAGTAACAATAATTACCAGGGACATAAATTCTGGTCTTAGGGTTCTCTTGCACATAAGGATGTGATTTCGGAGTCCTGGTGTCACTCCTCAGTCACTAGGAATTTCTCTTATCCAAACTACACTTTGAACCCTGAACCTGGACTGAGCCTCAAACTACCACATAACGTACCCCCTTGGGAAAAGGCACAGAAGTGTCAGAGATAAAGGTTGGTTGAAGTTGGGGTGGGAGAATACAGTATCAAATGCAAGGTCTTGGCAATGGAGATTCAAACCGTTTTGCCTACTTGAGAATCTTGTCCAGACATCACAAATTCTCAAAAAGAAATGGCACAGGCAAAAGTGGCCAGGTTCGCAGGTTCCTTCCTAATGCTTTGCTTTGAGGCAGTTAGCTCAGCAGCTAGCATCTGAGATGACAAGTACTAAACCTTTGCCAGTAATTAATTCATTTTGTTATTTCTCTGTGATTGGGAGGAAAGGAATCACCAATAAGCAGTTTTAGAAAATGTCTCTGGTTTAAATAAAATTACCAAGATGCAGTCCAACTTCAGTCCTGAGCCTGATTCTTCTACAGTGAGTCATATTAGCTTTGATAGAGTTTAGGATTAAAATATATCACTTTCAGTCAGCCAACATCAACCAGTAGCCATTATTAGTGCAATTACAGTCATTCTGATTGATTTCAATCATAGAACTGGAATGTGGTAGGAAAGGTAGCTGCACTTTCTTTTAAACACTTTTTCTGCCTGTTATTTCTGTGGGTTAAATGTCTCTTGTAAAACAGCTTTATAGATATTATAGCCATAAGCCTGAGTGACTGAGAAATGAGAAGGGGAAAAAAAAAACACCCTTTATGGAGAGTGAAGAAAGGGGGAAGGAGTGCGGTGCATTAGGGAAAGCATTAGGTGTCCAGACACATAAAGAGTCAGTCTTGGAAATTTCACTCAGTGCTGTGTGTCTGCTGTGGAGGGAAATAAAGCTATATGGGCAGGACTCTCCAAAACTTTAGGCACTGCCGAGCCCCTTGCAGCTCTTAGAAGGAATCTGTAAGTATAGTAACACTTTTTGATGAAGTGCTTTGCCACTCCTAGGGTTTCCTTACAATGTAAGTATCTGGTGATTCCCAGCCACCCCTCCCTGTAGCACAGACAGGTGTATTACGGGGCTCAGGGTTGCGCCGGGCATCCATTGCATAAAAGGCCTGTCTCGGGCAGATCTCCAAGGAGCAGATGCACCCATCTGGAATTTGCCGGTCCCGCTAGGCCCTTTGCATTAAGAACTCTGAAATGGCAAAAATAGGATTTCAAGCTGCTTTCTGGGCTTCAAAGGGTTCTTTTGGTAGGAGTCACAGTGGTTAATGATGTCCCGGAGGTGTGTTCTAGCAACACGGTTTTAACACCAGTAAAACGAAAGTTCAAAACCTGCCCAGAAGGAGTTTTCTACAGATGACAGAAGACTCGTCAATATTGTGACAAGAGCCCTGATCTCTCTGTTGTCACCTGTAGCCCTGCATTGGCACGTTAAACCTTTATAAAACGCACCTGAAATAAAACATGTTTAACATCTGAAGGAGAAAAAAAAATATATTTCCTCTGCCATGATTCAGCCAAATGCCTGTCAGGGAAAAATCTGTTTGACTCTGTTTCACAAGTCATTTCTGTGTCTTGCCAAAATATCACAGAAGATAGTTTGGCAGTGCTTTTTCTTTTCATGAGCATGATTTCACTGTTGACTTCGTTCTTAGAAAACAAGTTCGATCTGCTTACTAAAGCAATCAGCTCTCTGTGCTTTGTGTTCCAACACCAGCTTGGGTTTCCTTTCTCACCCAGCACGTTCCTTCTCTGTCCCCATCCCCCCACTCCGTCTCGTGCCCACAGGTCTCACCAGCGACACAACAGATGCAGCCAACCCAGACAGTACAACCGCCCCAGCCCACAGGGGGGCGCCGGCGAAGGGTGGTGGACGAGGATCCCGACGAGAGGCGGCGGAAATTTCTGGAACGGAACAGGGCGGCTGCCACCCGCTGCAGACAGAAGAGGAAGGTCTGGGTGATGTCACTGGAAAAGAAAGCAGAAGAACTCACCCAGACAAACATGCAGCTTCAGGTGCAGGCCGCTGTCTCTTTCCTTGGGACTCAAAGGCCCTGTGTACGGTTGGCATTTCCTGCCCCCGGCAGGCGCTTGTTCACCTAAACAGTAATACCACAGAGCAACTGCATGCAGGCTTACTCCCCAAGCTTTATTCGCGCCGGGACACTGCACAAAACAAAATAAGCATTCAGTTTTAAATCAGCCTGCCTACAAAGCTCTGATCAGGGAGAACCTGCCCAACTGAGTTATAGGGCCGTGAGCACAGGCTTTGGTCAGATGGAGGTTCACACTCTTGTTCAGCAATTAGTTGTGTTTAACCTGGCCCTCAGTTTCCTCATCTATAAAATGGGAATAATAACCTCATAGAGTCGCTGGGAGTCATAAGTGAACTAATGTCTACAAAGCAGTTCCCCGGTACCTAGCACATAATAAATCTTCAGCCCAACGGTAGTTCTTTATATTCACCAGGGAGGGGGTTGCTTTGCCTTCCACCAGATTACCTCTGGTTTGGTTTAATGGAGGAAAGGAACGTTTATGGTTATTATTTTGCTCTAGAAGAAAAGACATTATTCCCATCTCATTTGCAAACTCAACAAGATTTGAATCTTGTGGGATTTTTCCCTTTCGTGGGTGGCTCAACAGGGGACATTTTTCTAACAAGGCCCCTTCTGGGTGCATTTGAGAGAAGGGGAGAAGAGTCTAGTACCAGGGCCTCTCCAGCAGACTTCATGCTATACAAATGATGCGTTCAGGGAATCTGTTCTCCCATGAAAAGGAATGCCCTGTCCACCAGCAAAGAAAGAGCAACTAAATAGATTACATGACAAGTATGCAGAGAGAGCAGTAAGAGTTAGGGATTGTAGCCCAGCACTTCTAAGAGCACAGAGAAAGGCTGAAGAGTGGAGGGAAGGGGGAAAAGATTGCCCCAAATAGGGAGGATCTGTACCTTAGTAGTTTGTAGGCTCCCTTCCCCCACCTGGTTCTCTGTGCATCCTTAGAAAGGAACAGTAGGGGTGCCAAACCCCCAAAACTTTTGCATATTCAATGCATTCAATGGAAATGGCCTTGGGGCAGCCAATGTATAAATTGCAAATATATAAAGAAATTTTGGGTTATGCATGAACTGCATGTGGATGGTCTCATTTTCCCCTAAATTTATCATCCTTTTTGTGATAGACATGAGAAAGAAAATGGGAAACATATATAGCAGATATGGGGGAAATACAGTAAGCAGTCCTCCCAGTGGCTTCTACGTGCATGAAGGTGGGAGCTGTGTTTTATCTTATTGCCTTCTCCCCCTACTCTCTACCCCCTGTTTCTAGTATAGTGTCGAGCTAACCTGCTGAGTCCCTGAGTGTCTACACTCAATATCTGCTTGTTGAATAAATGAATGAGTTCCCTATCTCTGGAGTGTCCAAGCACTGACTGCCTGACCACTTGGCAGGGAGTCAAGCCACAGTGGGATGGCTGGACTCTAACACCATGAAAGTCGTTGCAACTTGAAAATCTGTAGTTCTAGAATCCCCACAGCCACAGTGGTATGTGAGAAGCTTTTAGGTAGAAGATGGTAAGCACTTTTAACATTCAGAGTAATCATGTTTTTATGTTTATGTGTATTGAAAAATGTAATTAGAACATCAGGACTTCAGTTTCATAGATACTCTTGGTAAGGATGAGGCTAAAATATTAAATAATGAGTTAATTTGTACAAACATGTTAAGTCAATAAAAACTCTGGTGCATGTGGATCTAGCAAATATTACAGACACTGGCTCTGCAGTGACCGAAGTGCGGAAATCCCTGGAATTTGCTACCAGTTCTGAGGTTTGCAAGAGGACCGTGAAAATGGGCAGGATTTCTCAATCTTGGCACTATTAAATTTGGGGCTTGATAATTCTCCATTGTATCCTGTTCATAGTAGATATTTAGTAGTATCCTTGACCTCTACCCACTAAATATGAGTAGCACCCTCTACCCCACTCCCAAGTTGTGACAACCAAAAAGTCTCCACACATTGTCAGATATCCCCTGTGGTGGCAAAATCAGCCCTAGTGATTGAAAACCACTGCCTTAGATGAAGGAGCCATGAATAGCCAGCTGGCACATATCAGATGCCAACAAATGTTTAAATCAGTTTTAACTAAAATGAGTCCTTGCAGAAATATTTCAGCGTATTGACTATGGTGCTGGAGCTTGAAAACAGAAAGAGATCATAGCAGAGATCCAGGAAAAGTGGAGATGCTGGTCTACCTTGTGGTCAGATATGTTCATGACTTGGCATATGCCTCCATGTTATTGCTCTTACAAAACACGTAAGGTAAATTTACCCTTTACGAGACCCTAATCCATTAATTTCCACCACTCTTTAGAACCATACATGGCTAAGGAAAAAAGATATTAGAATTCTAGCCCCCGAAAACGAGGGGGAAAAAAGTTCTATTTGGTCTATCAACAGGCACCAGTATTTTTGGTTGCTAAAGGAGTGCCCAGGGAAGGAAGGGACAGTCTCTGAAAAGACTAAATTCTTTGTGTTTTCCAACCACTGCTTTGCTTCAGAGGGACAGAAACCACAGCCGTTCCGTGTTTTCAGTGATGCTGAGTGCTCTGCATCATGCCTTGTGATGCTGGAGCGGATATGCAGATTCTGCTACCTTTGAATGACCCTTTCCCTCCTACTGGACCTTTGTCAAAAGAAAAAGGTGTCTCTCTTGAGGCTGGTCCAGTGAGCCAAATTTTAAGTAAACAGAAATGGAAGGTGCTAAGCAAACAAACTCTAGCCAAATGGAATATCCAAGGTCTGGATGGCCAGCTGCCACTTTTGAGTTGTTTTTCAGCTTAGAACCTTTTAGCTGGGCTGCAGAGTTTCAGATTGGAAAAAATCAGACCTAAGAAAACAAAATCAAACTCCCAGACTTCATTTCCTTGTCTCACAACAAATCTGTACCCAAGAGGTCAACACAGGTATAGGAATTGAGGGAAATACTAGAAATCACACGATCTGACGTTTTTGTATAGGGAGAAACTGAGGCCAGGGGGACATGAGGGTCTTCCTGAAAGTCACACTAACAGCACGTAGTAGGAGGAGGACCCAGGCAAGTCTTCTCTTGACCCAACCCATTGCTCTAGGATCTTTCATTGTAGAGAATTCTTAAACTAAAGGAACCCATGTGCTTTTCTCTGACAGAGTAGCTAAGATCAGTTCTGAATTCATCAGCAACTGATGGGGTGCTCAGTGGATTGTTTGTGTGCAGCAGACGATATGGAAATCATCTGGTCGCCCATGGAAATAATTGCTTTTTTTTTTTAGTGCAAAGACACATGGCCTAAGTCGCTGCTGAAATTTTAGACACATGAGCCCAGGTTTGGGACTTGGCAAGGGAATAGGCCAGATGGGAACTGTTGCCTTACAAATTGAAAGTCCTTTGTTTTAGCGTGAACCAAACCTGGCCTCAACTAATCTACAAAAAAGAAAAAAATAAGCGGGGAGGGGCTATCTTGTAGGGCCCATTTTGATAATTATTTTTTTGGCACAGACGACTGCTTGCATCAAAAAGCATCCTGGGTTTATCATATTAACAAAATGACATCCCCAAAGCGAAAAACTGCAAATGTAGCTATTAGGGACTTCTTGGAGTACTTGTTTAAAGTATGTTATTATGGGGCTGAATGTCTCTAGAGGGGCACTGCTTCATCCCCCAGACAACCTTATGGGTGAAAGAACAGATTAATCCGAAGGCATCTAGCCTCCGACAGTCCCTATCGCAATGGCTAACTGCTTTAGGGTAGCAAACCCAAACGAGGTTCAAAAAATGAAAAAATGAAGGGCTGTTTCAACAGGATAAGTCACACCTGATTATTAATACTTGGCTTTTGTAAAGTACTTTTACACAAAGACCTAGAACAATTACTATAACCCACGCAGGGGGGTGAAAAAAATATTGGTGATTTGCCTCAATTCTTAAAGCAAGGTAATTCAGAGTAAGAAGGTGCCTCCGGAAGGCCTGGTTTTTATTTCCCTACTAGAGCTGCAGGCAGCATTTTATTTCTTTCATGCATTTTGAAACATTTGCTGTCTGGTGATTCTCTTCCAAAATGAATTCAAGGTGGTTCTACTTGTGTTCCCTTCAGAAGGGTTTTTATTTAAAATCTAGTCTGGCATCTCCTTTGGCAGTCAGCGTGGAGACTGGAAGATGATTATGCGTGCGCACGGCCCACGGTCCACCCTGCCTTCTCTAGGGCAGTGATTCTCAACCTTTCTTAATCCAAAGCCTCCCCTGTGGAATCTGATGAAGGCTTGACAGGCTCTGTCAACAGTGTGGACCTATACGAGGATGCGAGGTTGTGTGCTAAACCAAAACTGTAGATAGAGCTTTGCAATCTGCCCTGATAAGATTTGGAAGTACACAAACTGTGCTCCCTCAGGAAATGCGAGACTCTAAATATAAGCCTATCTGAGAATACCAAAAGCAGTTAACTAATGAATAGAAAGTAAAGATCGAGTCCTTCGTTCGATTATTAGGTAGTTAGCTTTCTCCATAGAAGGCAAAACAGAAACACTCAAAGAATAAACAACTATGTTGCCGGCGGGAACTAGACAACTAGTCCCACGATCTTGTTTTACGTTAGTTTGATGTGGCAAGTGGGGAGGCGCAACCATATTATTCTGAAACCCCTGTTGAGAGCTCTTTTTCCTGCTGGAAGCTGCTCCATGAATTTCTGTTGCTTCTGTGGCCATTAGACTTTGATTTCATCCTTATCAGCATCGTGATTACGTGTGTACGATCTAAACAAGAGGCTGTTCTTCTTTACGGAGAATATTTATCAGCATTCATTTTCCAACTGTAAGATAACTAACATAATTACTAACACATTACTTTAAGAAATATATCCTTATTCACATATATCTTTCAGGTTCCTACACTTTTACAGACCCTCGAAATCCTAGGTCCTCAGTTCCTATACTTACAACGTATAAAGTGCTTTGCTATCCATAGACAAAAAGTGCCACTCAAGTCATCTATTTTATACAGGGCTTTGACACATATGCTGTTCATAGCGGTGATTGGCGCTGTTTTATTGTGACCTCTCATGGAAGCAAAAGGTTTATTGTGAAACAATTTGGGGTGTGCCAAGGATTGTAGGCAGTTAGTTCCTTGTGATTGTAGAAGCCCAAAGAACGGAATTCAAAGTGTTTTTTTAAGGAAGGGGCCATGAACACTTTGTGCCTGGGAGATTGAACACTGCCTAGAAAAGGTGGGATGGAGCAGGACATACTTGGGGAAAAAACGGAGACTAAAATCAATCTCTCCAAGATGGCCACCAGGTGGGATTTTTTTTCTTTTTTCTTCTAGAAGTGTAAGAAAGCAAGAGAATCTTGTTTTATGTCTTGTTTTGTTTTATTTTCCTTATTTGTTGTTTCCTAGGTCACAGAAGAAAAGTGTGGGAGGATTTAGTAAAAATAGGAGCTTGACTCCATTTTCTAAGAAAGAGTGTCTGCATTATCTGCAGCTAAACTTAGGGTGCAGGTGTCTTGGCGGTTGTGATTTTAGAAAAGTGCTGTATCTATAATCCAAATGCAAATAATATGACATTTCATTTTGAGGCCAAATATATATATATATATATATATATATATATATATATTAGTTTTATATACTAGTTTTATATACTAGTTTCTATATTATATATATCATTAGTTTTATATATTAGTTTTCTTTTTCTCCATTTTCATTTTGTTTTTGTTTGTTTTGTTTTAAAGATTTATTTATTTGCCAGAGAGAAAAAGAAAGAGAGAGAGAGAACAAGCAGGGGGGAGCGGCAGGCAGCGGGAGAAGCAGGCTCCCTGCCGAGCAGAGAGCCTGATGCAGGACTCAATCCCAGGACCCCGGGATCGTGACCTGAGCCAAAGGCAGACGCTTAACCGACTGAGCCACCCAGACATCCCTGTTTTGTTTTTTAACCAGGAGTTGCCTTCTATTTAACAGACTAAAAGTAACTTTCTTTTACACATGCCATTTTAAGCAAAGGGCATCTGGGAAAAGCAAGGAAGGCTGTCTGAATTTAAATGGGCATAAAATCAAAGAGGAAAGAATTAGTATTTAAGGCTACAATAAGTTGTTCTAAAAATACAGTTGTCCCACTGACCCCAGAATTGACAGGGGTCAATTTTGGTTGTGATAGGGCCCCTTACCAATTACATTCCTTTGGAGGTGGGAGATGCAATTCACCCTCCTGAATGTTTTCAGATTAAGAGCAATTAAGTGATTTATTTGTCCTATTAATGCTAATTTCTCAGATGGGCATTTTTATTTTGTAAAATTTGGAGAAGAGAAAGGCTTTTGTAGGTGAGATTCTCACTATTTTGTTATTTATGTTACTCACCATTTGATTGCAAATGAATTTGGAAATGCGAGGTAGTCTTTAAAACAAGCTTCAAAAAAAATGTTTTTAAATTAACTTTTAGAATCCCAAACTTGGTTTTTTAGGTGATAAATACATGCCTGAAAAGCCAAGTTCATAATGAAAGTGTAGATACAACTTAATGACAGCAATGTTAAAACACCCTTTTCTGTGTGCATGTTTTTTTTAAAGGCTCCCACATGTGGAGTACAATGCCTGGCAGCCACGAATGAACATTGGCCAGAGAGAGGGTATTAGTTATCACAACTATAAAATGGCTTGTTTGAGATAGTGCTATGTTTACAGTTTACTTTTATCAAGTGGAAGCACCTTAGAACCAACCAATCTATCCTACATTTATATTTGTAGACCGTGGTGCCAAGTACATTATTCTACAAAGCTATGAATTGGTCTTTGTGAATCACTACATAAAGTGGAGATTCGAGGCACTTATCTAAGTAAATAAGAAACACACACACATGCAATCCACAACACCCTGATTGTTGATGGCAGGAAGAGTTTATAGACTGAAATTAGCCAAGCTAGTTAGTGAACCAATCAAATTAATTTAATCGTTGCCAAAACTTCATAGCCCCTCCCTCTGTTCCTGGGCGGACCTCATCCTTCCATTAGAGAATCAACATTTGTCCCATGTGCTTCCATGCCTTCTGCTAAGCAGACATCAGGCAGGGATGCACTCTGTTGAACTATAGCCCATTTGGAAATTCTTTTTTTTTTTTTTTTTTTAAGATTTTATTTATTTATTTGACAGAGAAAGACACAGCAAGAGAGGGAACACAAACAGGGGGAGTGGGAGAGGGAGAAGCAGACTCCCTGCCGAGCAGGGAGCCCGATGCGGGACTCGATCCAGGGACTCCAGGATCATGACCTGAGCCGAAGGCAGTCGCCTAACCGACTGAGCCACCCAGGCGCCCCCATTTGGAAATTCTTTCGGGAAATCTGATGGTAGATCAGTTGGCTTATTCTGAGGACATTTCAGTTTGAAGCACTAATTCTGCCATTCAGTTCTTCTCAATGCATGTGCAACATTCACTCTCTTCACAGATTGAACACGAACCTGAGCTTGTCAGTGTGAAGATGATTATTATGAATAGCTAAATTCAGTAGTTGCTCAGTGTGTTAGGCAATATTCTCAGAGTTTTACATCCACTGCCTCATTCAGTCCTCGCAACAACTCAAAGAACTTTATTCCGATTTGATCCCCAATTATAAACAAGGTCGCTGAAGTTTAGCTGGCTTATGTTTCCTGCCTAGAGTAACCCAGTAAGTGTAAAGTGGAGATTCCCACCCAAGTCACCTGGCTCCAGAGTCCACTACCTAAAGGGTGTGCTCTGGACTTTTAATAGGATTCAGCTCTTGAGTTAAAAACTTGGTCTTTTCGGGGCGCCTGGGTGGCTCGGTCGGTTAAGCGTCTGCCTTCGGCTCAGGTCATGATCCCAGAGTCCTGGGATCGAGCCCCGCATCGGGTTCCCTGCTCCGCGGGAAGCCTGCTTCTCCCTCTCCCACTCCCCCTACTTGTGTTCCCTCTCTCGCGTGTCTCTCTCTGTCAAATAAATAAATAAAATCTTTAAAAAAAAAAAAAAAAAACTTGGTCTTTTCAAAAAGTCCCTGGTAAATGTGAGGACCAAGTTAAAGGCAAGCTACACATTTTCAGGTGAATCCCATTAAATATTATCCTTACTGTCATTCAGACACAGCGGAAAAGTTTGCCAATATCACCTTTGAAAGTGCATGGGGACTTGTACTCTCTGGTCTTTTCAACACGGCTTTGATATGTCTCCTTCCAGAATGAAGTGTCCATGTTGAAAAATGAGGTGGCACAGCTGAAACAGTTGTTGTTAACGCATAAAGACTGTCCAATAACAGCCATGCAGAAAGAATCACAAGGATATCTAAGTAAGTCGTTGACTTTTTTCTTTTCTTAGTGTCCAGTTTTTTTTGCCACTAATTTTGCATTGGATTTTACTGGAAGAGCAAAAGTAAAGCATAGATTGCACACCCCAGCAGATATCATAGTAGAATTCTTCAGTGGCTGCCAGACTATTGCATCAGAGGGATCCCTCTTTTCTGACCCCATCCCCATGCCCACCACCTCCCGATAATTTCTGGCTAGACTTACCCTGGCATTTCACATTGTAAAATCCTACCGAATTCCAATTCCACAGCCAGTAGGAAAATAGCTTGTGGGAGCCCAACCAGTGGGCTAGCTGCCTTCCAGAGAAATTAGTGGGCTGGGGTAGAGGCATTGGGTGAATCACATCCAATGCCTTCAGGGATGCTGCCTATTATTCACTGGGCTGAAAAGCTCGTGACCTCAGCTTAGTTTTCCAATAAGTAAAGTGAATCCCTTTCTCTAGACCCCAGTTTCTGCATCTAGAATGTCCATAAGTTAAATGCTAGCTGAGTGGGGGATGGTGGGAGGAGCAGGGATTCATGGCTGAAGGTCAATTTATTTTCAAATAATTTTTTAGATTGAGCAACACAGATTCTCCCACCACATGTGAGTATTTTTCCACATTTGATATATGGATGGCTATTTGAAGATACAAACATGGGGAAGTTCACATACCGAGACTCGAGAACACATGCAATCATGTTGCTGGTATAGAAAGCATGGCTTTGCTTGTAGCTATAAAGTGGGAAGGCATAGCTTTTGACTACAGTTTAAAATAAAGTTTTGAAATTAACGTCCAGGAGCAAATGTGTGAAACTCTTCTATTTCTAGTAAACACGTAGTAATGTTTCCCTGAGTAGCCCCTCAGGTCCACCCGAGAAGAGCTATATTGGTGTGTGTGTGTGTGTGCTTTCTCCTAGGTCCGGAGAGCAGCCCTCCTGCCAGTCCCGTCCCAGCTTGCTCTCAGCAGCAGGTCATCCAACATAATACCATCACCACTTCCTCTGCAGTGAGCGAGGTGGTGGGAAGTTCCACCCTCAGTCAGCTTACCACTCACAGAACAGACCTGAATCCCATCCTTTAAAATCTGCCAGTGGGTCAGACCTTGCCTCCAAGAAGAGCTGTCGCATATCATGCGTCCTTTCTTTTAAGGGCATTTTTAGAATTAACTCAGACCTGGAAGACTCCTCAGCCCTTCAGAGACTGGCTTTCATTTTTATAGTTATTATGGAAATGTCGTCTTTTATACTTAGTTATATAAGAAAAAAAGGGAGTTATGCAATTAATTAATCTATCAGCTTGGGAAATGCTTTGGTGCTTTTCTCCAATTTTCTGGTACCAGTTAACTTGTTTATAAACTGAACTCTTTCTGTATATAGACACGGTTTCATTCTTACCAGTCCAGCCCTTTGCCTGAAACATTGAATCTTGTTAAACCGCAGCTTTTAGCCAAAATGAGGCATACCTAGATGTCACGTAAACAGATGCAAGGTAACTGGGTGGTGAGTCTGATGACATCGTAACACACGTTGAGTTTGCGCTGTGATGTCGCCAGAGTTCCAGATAAACACAGAGCCTTTTCCATATTTTTTTCTCTTCCTAAAAAAATTATAAGATCTGCTGATGTCCAAATAAAACCACCGAGCATTTTGCCCCCTCTCCTCCTCTTCTTGGTCCACTTCCTCGATTTGTCCTCTAATTTCCTCCAGTCTTCCTTTCCATTGCCACTTTTCCCTGGGCTCCCTGTGTATTCTTCATTTTTACTTTCTTCTGTTTTATTTTTCCCCCTTTAGCATTGCAGGTAAAGAAGAAAATAATGCTTAAAGGAAAAAAAAAAAAAAGCAAATCTCAAAAATAAGGATCTAGCCATTGCTTTTCTTGCCTGTAACCCACAGCTGGAGTTCATTCACCTCTTGCTTTTTACAAAATGGTAAGCAGGAGATGTTTAATGTGCCTGATGTAAGGTTTTTAATAATCAGAGCAAATAAAAGGTGGCTTAGCCGTAGGTAAGGCACTGTTGAAAGCCAGCTGTGGAGATACCAGGGAAGGGAGCCTTGTAAGCCTCGATTGTGAAGGTCCAGATTATGATGCGGGCTATAACATCACACCCTCGAATTACAACTGGTTTTATATGGCCTGTCTATAAGGTTGAAAATCCATATGCTATATAATGATTCAGAAGGGCTCTATTCACTACAGATTACATTGTTCAATCATCAGCTGCTAATAGACTAAGATTCATTATTTTTTTTTTCTTAAGCCTATGGAACTGGCTTTGCTGTTCTGGTGGATAAAAGTAGACGCACCACTGGAGGAACAAAGAGAGAAAGAAAACCTAATGTTTCCATAGGGGTGCTTTCAGCCCTCCCAGAACAGCCAAAGCCTTCTTTGGCTGCTGAAAGAATCCCATGGATATGGCTACTCCACTCTTCTGAATAATTCTGATTTATATTTCCAACAACTTTCATCGATTCGCCCATTATGGAAAGCATATAGTCCCGAACCACAGTTGTGCCTCCTTGAAACAAGCCATTCTACTGTGCTAATGTTTTAATATCACATCTCGCAAGTAACAGGGGCTAATGTTTCCCTCTAGCAGTCTAGACAGGTGCTGGTGTTTCATCTCCATTTGAATGCTTGACCTCCTAACATGAGTGTGTGTGTGTGTGTGTGCGCGCGAACGCGCATGCACGCACATTCATGGGATTTAAAATAATAGTATTTTACAAAAGGTGTAGCTTTTATAAGAGTTCAAGAAAGGGAAAGACATGTATGGGTGTGTGTCTATGTGTTTATCTCTCACTATAGCATAAGAATCTATTTTGGAGAAAAAAGAAAATATGAGGGTCATGAAGCATGATTTTTATAACTAGTTTCAGTTTTATCTAAAAATTTACTTTTTAAATCAGTATTTATCAACAATTTTTTTTTAAATTTATGCAGTGCTTTCAAAAGGAAGTTTTGAGTTTCCAGGGAAATTCATGACTGGCTTTGTGGTCTAGAAATCAAAACAAAAACAAAAACAAAACAAAAAAACAAACACACACACAAACAAAAAAACCAAAAAAATTTAGAGAAAAAAGAAAAATGCAAAGCATTTTCTATTATATTTTAAACAAACATATCTTTTTTTAAGTATTTTAAATACTGAATTCATAGTTGTTTTGTTTTGCATCCCAGCAGTAACAGCTGAATGGTTGAACCTAACTGGCTTCCTAAGAAATATTTAAGATATATCTGTATTCTGATATTAAATTTAATTTTTTCAAAACTCCTTTCTAGGACCACGTATGTGTCTCTCTAAAAAAGAGAAAGAGCTCGTTGCAATGTTTGCTTGGGTTTTAAATTTTTTTATGTTTTTCTTATTTTTTGCTTTAAGTAAACAAAAACTTTTCTTTCTTTACTGCATGCATAGCACTTAATGAAATGGATTTTTAAAAAATCCACTAGTAATATCAGAATATCCAGGGAGTGGGCTGTCACTAAAATTATGGTTTACTTCTGTTCCACCTCTTGATTGAATATTTAGTTGTTTAACTGAAAGCCTCTGTGGTGAAGAACTTGCCTGAGTTTTCCTAATTCAGCAACTTGACAGTTTGACTGATGTGCATTATATAGTGGTCAATTATGTCTGTTTTTTATGCTAAGTAGGCAAACCAACCACACACACACACACACACGTTAGCAAACGGCTCTCAACATATAATTAGAATAAACTGTCTTCTTGTTATACTTAGAGCCTTTAGGTATGTTCAGTGTGGCAATACAGTAAAATGGAAGGCGCCAGCTCGTTGTCAGAGCGTCTTGAAACCCTGAACAGAAAGGCTCGTTGGTCAAATCCAATACTCGGCTTATCAATATTAAGTACTTCACTGGAAGGTTCAGCCTTCACCAGACCGTGGAACAATCAGTCTCCCTGAAAACCCCTCCGTGCCCTCCATTTTTTGCCAATCTGGGAAAACATCTTTTTTCTGCCCCATTCTCCTCTCCCACTCAGTTCCTGGGTCATCCACCTATATCTTCACGGATCCATTGTAATGACCTTCAGAGCACCCATCCTGAGGAGGGACGGGCCCTGCAACACTGCCTCTCATTCATATGTGGGTTTTTTTATTGGCAGCATCTGCCTTTGAAGTCACTGTCAGCCTACCTGGAAGTTTCTACAGTGCTTCCCCTGCCTTATGTGATGGGACTTGACTTAGATAGGTACCCCTGATGGCATTTCTACCAGCTGATCCTAAATTGAGGCATCCAAATAGTATTTCTTCTTTTTTTTTTTTTAAAGATTCATTTATTCATTTGAGAGAGCGAGAATGAGAGAGAGTACATGAGAGGGGGGAGGGTCAGAGGGAGAAGCAGACCCCCCGCCGAGCAGGGAGCCCAATGCGGGACTCGATCCCGGGACTCCAGGATCATGACCTGAGCCGAAGGCAGTCGCTTAACCAACTGAGCCACCCAGGTGCCCCAAATCGTATTTCTTCTTAAAAGACATTTCCCAACATATGATGCCAGGACAGGTAGAGTAAATCCTAGCCACGGATGAACGTACTCATTTTAAAGCCTGTGTTAAGCTGATGTTTTTCCTTCACACCCCCACTCATCCCTCCCCACGTCCACGTCGGTGTGTGCGAGTCACAGTGTTCACGCGGCCTGTGGGGGACAGCAGTTTGTGCGGTGTCACTGATTGAACTGTGATAATTAGGATGACTTACTTGGAGCAAATGCTCTTTGGAGCCTGTCTGGTCAAAGAACTCAAATGCAGTGCATGTTCTGAACAGAGGGGCATCAGTGGTGAATGTTCAGGTGGGTTTGTTGCCTGTTACGTACATTTTGGTGTGTCAGTTGAGTTTGCCATTAAAACCTGAAACCAGCTGCGGTGAAAGACCAGCCCTTGGCTGGGGAGTTTTAAGCATCAGTAACTGCTATCAAACTAGCCATCCAGTTAGGATAGAATGTGCTTCTTTCTGGTTAATAAAAACCATCTAAGAAAATATATATGTATGTATGTGTGTATACAGTGGAATTCAAGGACCAAAGCAAAATTTGAACAGGAATCTATTAATTTAGAATTTTATAAGATATTTATTAATAAATGTTATTTTAAAACATTCCATTTGAACAGTATTCTTCTGTAGGATCTACTTGTTTTTAAAGTATTAGTTCATAATAAACTACTCTAGTTGTGTATATCTTCATTTTTCAGGGTTTCAAATGGCTATTCTCCATTATTTGGTGGAAATGTTTTGCTTAGATCTCTGTGCATAGAAATTTCAAGGATTTTTATTGCTCTGTGAGTTATTTTTTAATCTATGTTCTGAACAGTTTTTTTAAACATTTATTTCTTCTTTTTTTTTTAATTTTTAAAGTAAGCTCTTTCCTTTAGGAAGCAGAGTTCAGCTAAAGGGAATCAGTAACTATAACTGGAACAGCTTTCTTTAAAAGTGTAGAAACAACTTCATCTCTGCTTCTCTCCACCCCACTCCAATTTCCTAGAATGCCTTGCACTATTCAGCTTCCTTAGTGCTCTTTTTTCCCCTTCCCAAACAATGTGCTGTAGCTTTAAGCCATTCAAGTTCCATTATGCAGTATATCTGAGAAGGAAAAGGAAACAGCCCATTTAAATTTGAATAAAACTGTGCCTATGCGAACAGTAGCTATTTAGAGTCTCCTGCTTTTAAAATAATTTATATTTTAAAATTGCACTTTAGCTTTTTCGATCCCTTTCTGTTTCTCTTGTTCTCTCTCAAAGCCCCTCCCTGTCCTCAGACTTGCCTTCTGCTCTCCCCTTTCCAACTCCCCACCCTTCCCCTCAGGCTCTGAGCTGCATCATTTAAAATACTTTACAGAATATTTGCACCAGGTACACGTGCGTGCGTTCCTTAGTATCCTAGCAAAGACAGGTTCCTCACATCAGCCTGGATGAAGCCTGCTACAAGAAAACCAAGGAGAAGAGCCAGTTTATACTCTTTAACCCTTTATTCATAGCATGTTTTTTTTTTTTAAAGTTATATTATGCAACAGATATGAGGCAGCAGCTAAGCTACACTTAAGAATTTTCTATCTCATCCTCCAAACCGAAGTGTCCTGAATGAGCCAGGAGACTTAACTCTTTTGTGCACCATGGTGCATATGGACTGTGGCCCCAGCCGTTGTCTCTCTGAGGCTGTTGAATTAACAGTGGCCCTGTCTATTTCATTCCTAGGTCTCAAAAATACAGTGTTGCCTTGCGACGTAATTAGGGACAGCACCTCTATTTTACAATGATAATCTGAGAAAGACAAGAAGACACGGAAGCAATAAACTTATCAATAAAATTCAATACCAAAACAAAGAAATGAAAACAAAGACAAAAACCCTAACTCATCATGTTGTGAAAATGAATAAGTGTACATCCGCTCAAAATATTTTACTATTTCTTGTGGAGTTTTTCAGTGATGTTAATGCTTATAGCCAAATTGCTTAAAGAGTGTTTATATATTTTTTTCCTTATAAATTGTCTATTTTTAAAAAAAAAAAAAAGAAACTATTTACCACAAGTTGAAGAGGGGGGTAAGGCCAAATTGCCAGCATTTGTTAAAAGATTAATATTCTTAAGTGGCGCTCTGATACGTTTCCAAGCTTATCATCAGAGGGGAATCAGTAACGATCAGCTCTTGTATTTCGACCAACTTATTAATATGTAGCTCATTAGAAACCAGGATTTAGAAAGCTTTTCAATAAGCCATTTAGGATTTCCTACCTTGAGTTTCATATTATAGAACTTTCTAGGATTTTTTAAAAAAAGAGAATCATTTTAGCCTCAGGACTGAGAATGTGGAACCTGAATAAATTAGCTTTAAGTATATCATTAAAATCTTATGCACAAGAAGCTCATTAGAGTCTAGTTGGCTCCTTTAGAATGCCAATGGCATTGGCAGGAGATAATGAAAGGTATCAGCAGTGGGCCAGTGGAGGGGGTTTCAGAGAAGGGACCCTTCCCAACCAGCCAGCCAGTGGAAGAGAAGACCTACTCACCCTCTTTCCTTCTATGTTCTGCTAAATCACACCTGCCTCAGAGAGAGGAGTTTTGCCTTTGAGGTTTGTCTTAGAGAAATGATAAGCTTGAAATGTTCTCCCTGGAGAGGACATGCGGTTTGGGATCTTCTGAAAAGGCCCAGAAAAATGGCTCCGTTCAAACACAACATTCTAGGACAATTGGAATATAGATATTGTCCAAAACTAGAACTTAAAAAAAAAAAAGTTTAGCCTTGTGCAAAGTAAGTGCTAACTAAGGAAGTCCCCCACCCCCCCCAAAAAAGGTGCTGTCACTTTAAGTTCTGGACTGGGGGGTTGTTTGTAATTGTAAACAGCAAAGCATTTATGTTTGTCTGTCTATTTGTAAAGCAACCACCTTCCTTCCTGGAAGGAGAAAAAAAATTGGGGGTACATACATGTAAATACTTGCTGCAGCATTTAATATGTTCAATTTTATGTTAAGCTTTTTGTTGCATCGTGAACACATTTATTGTTACCAATGGACAATGAGTTCATTAAGACTGTTCAACTAGGTCAGATTTTTCCATCTCTTTCGAGCAAGAGGAGACAAGATTTTGTGCATTTGTACAAATGTTAATAATATCACTGCAATTCCAATATAATAAAGCACTCAAATGCAAATAATACATGTAACTTTTGTATGATGAAATTCGGGTTTGGGGATAATGGTTTCTATTCTGCATATGGTCTCATTCCTGCCTTGTAAATCAAGGCTTGGTCTTTCAGGGTTATGATTCTCTAGGGATGGAAGGAGGTGAGATTTTCTCCTTCCTAGACCACCACTGTGCTCCCACTGCCTCCTCCATCCAACTTCCCAACTGAGGCCACCAATCTAACACACTCACAGTGGCTTGGCTACACAGCAAAACTTCGCTTTGGGGTCCACAGATTCTAGCAGTCAAGAAGAACAGCCAGCATAAGTTCATGTTCAAGATGTCTAGGAGCCAAGAAGCACATGCTGGCCACTCAGGCAATCAAATCTTGGAATTCTCTGCTTGGCTTCCAGAAAAGTCCTAAGGTCAGTCTTAGCCCCTTTAGGTGTGAACTCTTCAAGATATCTCCCTTCCTTCCTTCCCCTGCTACCTTCTTTCCCTCCACTTCTTTCATTAAATGTGTTAGTCACTCTCCTCTTTCCCTTACGTTCAATGTCTGATCCATCAGCGTGGCCAGAATCCAACCACCATTGATCACTGACTTTACTATTACAGCTCTGTCCAAATTACCAGCACCTCTCACCTGGATTATTGCAACACTCTCCTTACTGGTGGCCAGAGGGAACCTTTGGAAAGGGATATCAGACCGTGTCCCTCCACTGCTCAAAACCCTAAAGGACTTCTCCCCTCGTTCAAAGCAAAAGCCAAAGTCCTTACTGCCGAATTCTGTGAAGGCCCTCCATGACCTGCACCCTCATTAATTCCCTGAGCTCATCTCCTTACCATTTTCCTTCCCCCCTCACCTCTCCAGCTCCCCTGATATCCTTGAGATTCCTCAAACATTCCCTCTACCCAGAATATTCTTCTCCCAAATGTCAGCATCACTTCCTCACCCGCCTCCCAACTAGTTAAGCCTTTCCTGACCATCCTATATAAAATTACGCCACCATCACTCTTCATTCTCACCTGCCTGGCACAGACTTTATTTTCTATAGCATTTACCAACATCTAACATAATTTTCATTTAATGGTCATTTTTATTCTCTGTCTCCTCTAAGTGGAATGTAAGCCCCACAAGAGCAAAGGCATTTTCTATTTCGTCCACACTTGTGACCCAAGATCTAGAATAGTCCTATGCAATAAGCACAATAAACGTTTGGGGAACGGATAAGCTTCCGTTTCCTTTCTGTCTTCTTTCTTGATCTCAGAACTCTCCAACCCAACCACCTGGTCCTGTGGCCACAACAGTCATATTTTAAAATCAAGTACCAGGAGGTGTCATCTGACACATAGCCTGACAGGATATTTGAAATTGGGACAGAAACAACAATTTGGGCAGAAGATGACTGCTGTTCTAATGGCAAATCCCATCTGTTACTTTTACATGTAGACCACTCACTCCACTCATGGTTCCCAAGAGAGTCTTTCTAATGCCCATCCCGCAGTCATTTGCAATTTCAAAGCCATTACTATTGGTTAAAAAAAAATTGTTATGATCCCACAATTATACTTGGAAGATAGGCAGCTCTAATCTCCATTCTATGTTTCATCCCTTTGTCCCTGGAGCTTCATAACGTCCTTTTATCTTACTCTCTATTGTGGTCGGTTATTGGTTGGTTGCTGGATCACATTTTAATTTTGCATTACATATTTTCTTATCCAACAAAAACAGTGTTTTATCAACACAACCTGCCTTGTGGTTTGAAACCTTAAGTATCCTCACTATGAGATCATAAGACTCCAGAGCACGATGAGTCCCCTTTTCAAAGTAACTAAAAACAAGACAGTTCGTGAGATCTGTTCTCATGGCAGTAATGCTGATTTTATCAAAACAGCCATGAAAATTAGGCCTTAAAAGAGAAAAAAACAATATATTGATTTTTAAAATATAGAGTCTGGGTTTAGACTTGCACACTTTAGAAGCTACTTCTTTAGGAACTATAGATGGTTTTTCAAAATGGCTGAAAGGGTGGATAAATTATCACATCTAAAAAAGTAGTAGCTAGTAGACCTAGAAAAACTAATAATAATAATAATAATAATAATAATAATAATAATAATAATGAAAATGGTTGTATTTAAACCTGAAAATTCATGAATTTTTTAGTAACCACTAAGTTTCATCTTATATGTTGTCAGGTACTGTGTCTTTGCTTCTATCATATTTCCTTGTACCAACTGGAGGCTGAATCACAGCATTGTCAGCAATCTTCCATAAATCAACATAGACCCAGTAGGCTATAAAAAAGGTCCCCTATAAATCGCTTGCACTTTCCCAGAAAGAGAGCTGCCTACACGTTTTTTAAAATGAAAAAGGAAGATCCTACATTCACAACGCATTCCTAATTCCTTAATATTACAGGAAGAAAATTGTTCTGAGTATCTAAGCATGATTGTATTTACACAGGATAAGTCTGTGATCTACTATTACTACATTTGCATTATCTTAAATGAGCACTCTTCTATTTAAGTTGGCTTGCTGACATTGGTCAATCATAGAGTGAATTTGCTTCAAGAAAGAGAAACCCTGCCTGCGGCTGGAGTGAAGGTGGATTTCTTCTAAGGATGTAAGAGGTCACTCATGGAGCCCAACCAGGTACTGCAGCAACTATCCCAACAACTCTGGAAAGTCATTAAATAGCTCATCTCTCTGGCTTGTCTGTCTCTCTTCCCGCTGTATCATTCCTCTTTCTGTTCTGTGTCTGCTCCTATCTCTCTTTCTCTCCCTCCCTTTCTCTCTGTCTCTACAAACTGGTGTGTATACTCACTTACTTGTTTCTGTGTGGGCCCATCATTTCTGCTCCAAAATGATAGCCTCAGCCTCCAGCATATCGTTGATCTTCTAGTTCAAACACCCAACATCAGCTCAGTCTCTGTCTTTCTACTCCGATTTCCCAGGAGAGAGAATCTCATTGACGGGATTGGGTCAGGCATTTAACCCTAGTACAATCAACTGTGTCTAGGGAAGTGCGGCTACATACATTGAAAGCTCCTACTTTGAGGGGCAGAACTGGATTTCCAAAAAGGGAGTGAGGAGAAAATGATTGCTAAAGAGAAATTGTTCTGTCTAAAACAACTTACAGAAATTTAGTCGTTTACCCTTAAAACATACCAAGAAAAAAAAGGACAGTGAGGAGATTAACGAATGAATGAATGGTTAATGAGTTATCTTTTTATTGAAAGCTTGGAATTGAAACAAATAGAATATTCATTAGAGATTAGTTAAAAGTAATTTTTTTACCAAGCTAAGAATTTTTCTGTATATTATGGCTCAGTTGGTAGGCCATAATATCCAAAATATAAAAACTAACCATCAAAAAGAGTGAGAATGATTTTAGTTTGTCATGTTTACCAGGATTTCCCATTCTCTGTCTTTGAATTGAATGATTACACTTACACTTTTCAAGAAAGACCTTTGCTATATATATATATATATATTTTTTTTTTTATATATAATCTCCGTAGCTGATTCCAGTGTGTTTGTGTTTGTAAGAATGTCAGCATAATGTCTCCAAGGTGAGGTTAAGAAACACTCTTGTCTTTGGGGTGCCTGGGTGGCTCAGTCCTTAAGCATCTGCCTTCGGCTCAGGTCATGAGGACCCAGGACCCTGGGATCGAGCCCCGCATTGGGCTCCCTGCTCCATGGGAGGCCTGCTTCTCCCTCTCCCACTCCCCCTGCTTGTGTTCCCTCTCTCGCTGTGTCTCTCTCTGTCAAAATAAATAAATAAAATCTTAAAATAAAAAAAAGAAACACTCTTGTCTTAAAACTCCCTCCAGGTACTATAATAACTAATGAAGCCTTTGTGACAAGGAAACATGTCAGTTTTTATCAATAAGCCTCCAAGAAAGCAAGAGAAAGAAGACTAGAACAAGAGCTTAAAAGAATGTAACAATCTGGAGTCAGAATTAATAGTTCTTCATTTTAATACCAAATTGCCCATTGATTTCTTATATGACCTTAAACAAACACAGATTTCTGTACCTTACTTGTCTCCTTTGTCAGGATAAACACACATGGAGTGAAGTGGGAATTATTTCTGTGGTGCCTATCTACAGAACTCAGCCTAGTACCGCCACCACACCTTTCTCTGGAAATTGCTCTCCCCCCACTCTATCATCTGACTTCTCCAGGAGATTCCATGGTCCAGCCCTCTGGCCATAGCTTCTTAGTCCAATACTCTGCCCCTAACTCCCAATGGAACAGCAACTGGATACTTAGGTAGGGGACCTAGAGAGTCAGTCTCTCCTCTCTCTCTCTGTCTGGTAGCTTGGAATCAAAAAGATGCAAAACTTAGGAGCTACCAGGATCCAGGTTTCTGCCAGGTAAGGGAACTCTGTCTATAGAGAGAGAGAGGGAGAGAGATAAAGCCCAAACAGCAGAAGCAGAAGCAAGAGGCAGAAAGAGAGCTCTGGAAATGGTCATTTCCTGTTGAAATGGTTCTTAATGGTTCATTGCAACCACAACCCTCCTCCCAGCATTGTCTTACCATGAGATAGCCCAAGGTCCATCTGATAAATCTCTTATTTTGCTTGAGCTAGTTCGGGAGGGTTGCTTGGAAGCAATAAAGGTCTAATTCATGCTCTATTCCTAAAGCTACCATGAGAAACCACTAGAAGGACTTCTTCAGCCTTTTGAGTGTCTGTCATACTGATGGAGGAAAGGAGATGTCACATCCCCAGCCAATGCAAGCAGATGCAGCTCATTCTCATTCCACACACCAGGGCATTCTGACATTTGAATATGCATCGGGGGTGGCTCTCCACACCTACAAGCTACATGCATGAAGGATAGCCATACTATTTTTCTGCTTAAGGAACGTTTGTAAAACTAGCATTATATTTGCCTAGAAATGGAACTGTTTTAAATACTTTGATGAATGGACAAAGAACTCTAATTTCTTTCATTCCCTATATGTCCTAAGGTACAGGATAAAATATTTGTGTAAGTAATACTTTTGACTGAAAATAATG